GATTTCCTAAGCTGGAGGTAATTATTGAGTATTTCAAACTCAATACATCTTGATATAATACTTCAAACATCTCTAAACCCTTCTCTCTGAAACCATAACCTCTAACAAATCAATGTGGGAATTAAAATACCGAAGAAATTTGTATCTATTGGTGCTGCACGTGCGGGCCTAGTTCAATTTGGTACTGCTCCGTGGACCCCACGTATATCAAAGCCATTCAATAAGCAGTTGCATGTGATTTTTTAGAAAAAAATTTAATGAAAACAATGGGGGGAAAAGTCTTTAATCCAGTTTTTTTTCTTTTTTTTGGTAAACAAAAAGAAAGTCTTTAATCCAGTTTATATATGAGATACATTCTTTTTATTTTATCATAATATATTTTTCTGAACTTTTAATTCCGTGTTAAAATCTTTAACAATCATTAACTTTCAAACAATCCGACATACACTTATTTATATATAGATTTCGTATCACATATATGTACACATTTTCACTATCTTATTATAAATAGTCTCACATCATCATTTTATTCACACTTTCATTCTGATTCTGCCACCAATAATAATATAATTAGAGGATGTGACTTGTTATTAATGGATAGCAAGCATTCTCCTTAATTTATTTTAAGAATATACAAAGGGCAAAATGGATCGTAATTGGCTTGTTGGTCCATTTGACCCACCAAAATTGATGAGTTTAGTAATATTTACAACTTATTTTTCTAAGCACACTATTTTATCCTGTCCCATATAAACTACTTGTAGGTTTTGGTGGAGATGCGTCAGGTCATTTTCCTTCTGTCTTTATTTATTCATCTAACCCATCATTCTTGTTCATGTTTTAGACTATGATAGGCTGGAAAATCTGCAGTGGAAAAGTCAGGAAGGAATTAGAGTGGATCGTTGTTTCGTACAAATCTTTATCTTAACCTTATTCGGATTTAAATATCTTCAAACTTTCATTATTATTATTCTTCACCTATGGACAAAATTAAAAGAATTCTTCAAATCTGATTACTACTTGCCATTGTCATGTTACCCTGAATTGAGAGTAATGCTTTTTTTGTGCTCTTCCATTAAAATATTGTTAATTAACCTACATAACTTATCATTTTTGCTGAATTTTAAAAAGTTAAAGTAATAATTATTCTTCTATTATTTTTTTAAGTGTGTTGATCCACTGAAATCAAGTAAGTTGATTTGAACCTATTTTAAAAAAACTTATCAATCTACCCATCTCATTTTTGTATTGACCACTAACCGGTTAAAGTGAGTTAACTGAGATTGTCATCCACGTAATGTTAAAAATTCCTCTCTTGTTTATTTTTCTTTTCTTTATTGCTTTTACTTTTTATTTGACTTTACTGACCGTTAACCCCAATTAGTTTAGAATAAAAATTATATTGATATAAGGAAAAAAATTACCCTTATGTTACATGTGGTAACTTTATCTCCTACACACTCTTCGATAACTGTGCCACTTTTTTTTCAGGTGGTAGGATCTACAAATTTATCTCTATAACATGAAATAACTTATCTCCTTTAATATGAGATTAATAAAACTCTTGATATAAATATAATTGTTGTTATAGATTAGTGAACTTGGCTTCTTTCATGGTTCTTACTACGAGACAAAACATTCACAACATGGAATATATCCCCGGTTTTTTTTTTTCCAAATAACAACTATCCATCATTGCAACTTGATTCCCCCGCATTTGGCATATTCACTTACTCACCTACTAAACTTTATTGTCACCTTTGTACATTCTGGAATATTACACATCATTTACATATATTATATCTTCTTTTCTTTTTAATAAATTATAAGTATCTTCTACGGGAGGTAATTCTGTTTAAGATGGATTCATAATTAAGGCTTTAAACTATCTAAACGATAATACTAAGAATCATCGAATACATGTTCTTATCTTCGCCTGTTCAACTTTTATGTGTCAACTCTTCGTTTGATACTAATTGTTAATATAAATATAATCATATGCTATGTCTTGATGCAAGAGAAAGGAGATTTGGCCATTTTGCTATTGCACTCTCTCTTGAACACTTCAGAACTCGGCATGTGACACACCACAAACCTTTCTCTTTTGTATTTTTAATTCTTAATTATTATTATTATTATTCTGAATTCTTGACATTAATTAAATTAGACCAAAATCACTATAAAATAAAATATATATTCTATTAAGTTAAAGTTGTATTATTTATTGATTTATTTATTTATTAAAGATATTTCAATCGGTTCATCATTTCGCGACTAGTCTGATTTGAAGCGAATCCCAGTATTAAAACTTTAACTCTTTTCTAAAGAAAATATTTCATAAGATCGAACACATATTCTCACTTCATCTGCTCAATTTTCTATACTTTTTATTCTTTTGACTTCTACACTAGAAGGGTCTAATTTTGTTTCATACCAATCGCAAGGGCAAAATACGCATAAGGTATCGTGGTATTGAATTTAGAGAATAAAAAGGTTTCTGAATTTTATTTCTAGTTTTCACAAAGCGTATAAGCATTTCCGCGCCAGCTTTGACTGCGGAAAATGGTTAGTACGGAAGCAAAATAATTGAGTAAATTAAATCAAATTTTAGCATGTAGGTCCGCTCTAAAGCATGTTACAGAGAATATACTAAAATCCTTTAATTCATCATCCATCCCACCAAAACATCATCATTTCCAATTAAATAAATAAAAAGTGAATATTTATTATAATTAAAGGAAAAATAAATAAATAGACACTGTCATTAGATGCCATGGTATTGAATTTGGAGAATAAAACCTGATGGTTGAGTATTATCCATTGAGTATAGTATTGAATTGAAGTTCATATAACTTCAACAAAATCTTTTAAAGATCAAGTTTTTACAAAAAGTTTTAGAACTTGTTTTAAAATCTCAATTCACTCTTTTTTGAGTTTGAACTTTGAAGTAATTAATAGCGTCTACATGTCAAAAATCTCACCAAACAGGAATTTAATTTAGCTTATGTACGCCTCGAATTTGCTTCGTGATACATATTGGACATTTTATGTGAATATATTCTCGTGTCATGAGAAAGCAACAGATTTTTGCATTCAGTAGAAAAAAAAAATACTTTTTCATAGGAACGAAAGTGTGTAAATATTCCATTACAAAAAAAAAGTGTGTAAATATTGAGCAAAGATATTCTCAAGAATCATTTTTTCGTGAATTTGTTTTTTCAAAATCTTGAAACAAAAATGAAAATTCAGAAGGTCCCGAAAATCCAATAGTATGAATATATTCGATGAATCAAACACCATAAGGGCTGTTTGGTAGGGGGCAAAAAAAAATTGGCCAAGAAAATAGGATAAAAAAAATAATATGGCCATATTTAGTAGGAGAATTTGAAAAAAACTGGCTGGGAAAAAAAGCGAATGGGATAGAAAATTTTGCCATGGATGGGGTGATAAGTTTTTTTTCCTGTCGGTGACAAATCCAGATTGCTTTTGTGTGACGAAAATACCCTGCATCAAAGTACATTTCTCAAACCTCAGCTAATGAGCCCTACTAAAAATTGGGGGTCATTTGGTAATTTTGATTCTCTTTCCCATCAATATTTTATAATTATCTAAACATAACATCAGTAAAACTCACCAAACTTTCTCGGTGAAATTTTGACATATCAAACACATTTTTTTAACCTTCCCGATCAAAAAAAATTGACATTTTTTTCTCAAAATTTTTTTATTCCCCGTAAAAAAAATTTCTGCTACACCAAAGCTCCCTAAATGTTTAGGGTTGACTTCAACAATAATTATTTCCATCGTACAAATTACCATTTAATTGGCGTCTCTTCATGTCTGACACGACCCAGCACAATTTTTTATGTATATTACGACAGTAGTATAGAATAAAGTAATTAACTTTACTTTATATTTTTTTTCAAAAAAGTCTGTAACTACATATAAAAAATTATACTTACATTCACACTACTCATAAAAACTAAATTTAACTAATATTTTACTAAGCAATTTTTTTACCATTACATTTTCAAATAACATGCAAATCTCGCCACAAGTGAAATTCTCAATATCTATTACACGGAAATATTTTTTATGCTCTAAGACCACCCAATGATTTGGTGCTCCCTCTCACAACACTAATTTTTTCTTTCCTTTTTTACCCCTGCTATTTTTCGTCTTTTTCAATTTTATCCTCCCATTTATACTAAGGGACCACCTAAAAAATGATAGTCCCGGACCACAATAAATCCTCTCCTATTATACACTCTTAAATTCAACTAGGTCCAAGACCCAAATTCAACCATTTTCTGACCTTAACCCAAGTTACAACCTAAACCAGATAATTTGTCCTTTTTCGGCTCTAATAATCATCCATAACATTATCCCGTATTTACTACTACGTCTGCTTACCTACAAAGGCCCATGTCTCAAAGGTACTGTCTCAAGATGACAATTACACACATATTGTGTGGTAATGTTTCCAAAAGAAAAAGGTAGACCGAAGGAAGACACGTCGTTTCGTGAATATAATGGGCTTTAGTGTTTGGTAATGTTTCCAAACGCAAAGGGTAGACCAAGGGCAAATCTAGAATTATCACTCGCAAGAGACGTTTAGATTAAGACACAAATAATTTATATTATATCTATATAACATGTTTCCTCACACCTTGAATCTTTTTATAACTTGAAGTATGAATAATATACAGGTCTGCTATTTTATATTTAAACTTTTACGGAAAAAATGGGATAACAAGGTTCAAACTCTAAATTACTCGGTTATAGATCGACTCTGATACCATCTCATGAATTAACTCTTCCAAATGCTTAATCGTGACACAAAGGGTTTATATTACGTTTGGACGGTATTGATATGCTCAGTACTTTAGCATTATGTGAGAAGAATACAAAATCATATATGGGTGAAAATAAATCAATTCGAACAGGCCACTACTAAATCTCTTTCATTAATTCTAAGCTTAGCTTCACTATTTCACGATTTAGCGGGTTAGGAAGCTTGGCCTCATGTTCTGGGGAAACAATGGCAACTTTTTGCCCATAAAATTTTCAACAAGTGTTACGAGTAGAGCACAATTACATCACTCATAACAGCTTATTTATTTTTGCAAAAATGTTACAAAAACATACCTATAACAAATAAATAAAAAATGACGGCCAGAGCAGCAGCTTTCCGGAGACATGCAAGGTGCAAATTTGAACAAAAATGTGCTTGGCCAGATCTCCCATAAAATAGAAATGAAGCAGAAACAGAGATGAAAACTAATAGCGGTTCCAATATGTTCTGCGTCTGAACCAGTTGTAATCAGGCAAACGCTGAATAGGTCCCATGGCAGCAATTGCAATATCCTGAAAGGGAAAATATAACATAAGTTCTGAAACTGAAACCCGAGAAAAGCACACAATGCTGTTATCACTGAATGAGTTATATAGTTCAAGAAAGACCTTGTCATAAATAAATCGGTTTGCAACACGCTTAATTGTGCTTGCATCAACAGCATCAATTCTAGCAAACAATTCTGCAAATGGTATTCTTCTTCCGTAGGTGAGTAGCTGAAACAACCACAAGGGCAGATATAAATAAATGAAATATCAAGTTGTAGCAGTATATTTTCTGTATAGCAATAGCATGATACATATTCAATTATAATCCTAGGGCAACAGATAATAACCTTTTAGTATGACAAGCTATTGACCACGGAAATGTCTAGAGACTCATCTTACTAGGCTTTTTTTATTTATTTATTTAAATATAGTGTGCCTAAATAAGAAAGGTTTTATATACAGTCCAGTTCAAACTGTCAATACTAAATACTTAAATATCATTGTTTCTACATACAGAAAGATATAATCACGCCGTTAAACAGATTTCTAATTTGAAAATGAAATTACCAGTTATAGAGGCTTGTAAAGAATATGTCATTGATTTACTTACCAACACCCTTACTATATAAATAGCACCATTTTCCAACACCACCTATGTTTATCAATAGTAATGGCTTTAATATCAACTATCACCATTAAGATTTAAAGTCACTGAAAAATAGTAAGAAATAAGATATTATTTTCCTATGATAAAGTATAAACCTCTAAAGCTATTTACCACTTTAGTGCAAGTTGATACTTATTTATCTGTTCAGCGCAGAGTGAACAGTACAAGTAACAAGTTGAAGCGGCTATAGAAACATATACCAAACAAGACTTAAATTAAAACCATCCAAGTAAGGACTGACATGGTTAAATTTTTCAATGAATGCATGCATAAAATATTTTAATTGCATGTACTAAAAAAATTTAGTTTTTAAGAAAGTTAATGTAATTCTTACATTGCAACAATTTTTTTATTTTAACTTTAAAAAAGTGACTTTTAAACATTTAAAAAACTAATTAATAAGAATAAATTAAACAAATATTTTACCAAAATTTATTTAGTTATTATTTTTTAAATTTAAATTTAACAATTTTTTTTTGTAAAATATATAGTTAAAAAGAATTTGTGGTGCAAAAAAAAAATCTTCTGCAAATTTCTAAAGTATTTTTATTAAAGTTATAATTTTTATAATAAAAAATAGTTGGTTTAATCTGTTTTTTTATTCATATAACTTTTAATGAAAAAATAATGAATGTAATATTCCTTGCATGAAAGAAAAAATAGATTTTTAAAGATTTTTATTCAACCACAAATTATTAAAAATAGATTTCTACTTTTGTGTATTATTAATTTTTTACACACTTTGAAAGAAAAACGATGATTCACACGAAACCATTTAGTAGAAATGGTTACGAATGAGTTGGCTTGCATTTAAAAATATTTTCATATTTTTTAATTTGACAAGAAAGTAAAGCGATGTAGTTATAATACAACTATCTCATTCGTAACTTCTTTCAGAAAATCTCTTTCGTGACAAATAGCACCGCTGTAAAATAGATTCCTACTTACATGCAATGCTGCAAAAATATTTTTTATAACATTAGTTTTTTTTCTTTTAAATTAATAATTATTCAAAAAGAAAATAAATTAATGCACCAAAAAAAGAAGAAGAAGAAGAAAGTGTTAAAAAAAATTCACGTGTGCATGCATTCAAAATATAAAACCATGAAAGTCAGTCATCTGTCAACGGACATAGCATAGTTTTAACAAAGTGTTGGCTGCGGACACAGACTTATTATTTAGAAAACTAAAAAGTAACAAGTAATAGGTCTATTTTGTATTAAACAGGCTAATGATATTCTACATGCAATAAAGTGGTAAATAATTTTATTTACACCTGTAAAGTAGAAAAGCCCTCTCATCCCCCTTTTATTCATTATGAAGTTGAGAGTTAAGATTATTGTACCTGACGCCCAATATCTTCGGCTACTGGACTTGTTCCATCTATGTGGAGCAGGAGAGAAGATTTCAACTGTAAAAAACACAATTTTAAGTGGCTACAGCACAATAATAGTATACAGAAATAAATTGAGTAAAGCAACATTTTAAGCTTTGCTTAATAAATGCAAAAGACCAATATAATGAAAAAAACCGAAGAAAGATTTAAGCAGAATATAGGTTCTACGGAGGACTCTACATATCTAGGGATCCACCGGCCCTTTGGAGGTACAAAGACTATTTACTAGGGCTAGTTTACTGTGTCGTAGAATGCGTGTACATACATTGTCAATGGTGCAAACCTTGATTTATTCATAGTTAGGCATCTATCACATTTTTTGGGAATGCTGTGACTCAGTCAACTTATTTCATCTTTTCAAGTTTCATAACATACACCACTTAAGTGAGGGAATGATTGTATCCTGAGGACACAAAAGCAAAATTTTAATCTGAATGTTGTAACCCAGTCAATTTATTGCATAACATACACCAATTGGTGAGAGTATGATTTATATTGGGTCAACTTCAGTAAATTTTTTATCCAGTGTCTACATTTTTTAGGAAGTAGCAATGTCAAATTGCATTGCCACAATAAAAACATAATTGATAGCTACTGCACGTGAATTATATGTAATTAAACGAGTGAATAAAATCGCTCAGATGTTGCATTACCATTTCATATGCGATGAAACATGTCAGCCATAAATTAATTTAATTTGAGCGTAAAAAAACTTGGCATCATAAATAGAGAGCCAATAACAACGTATTTCATTTATCTAAAACTTTCATGACTCAAAATCTCCATTTCAAATAGTATGCCATGGCTCCCCTGAGACATTACATCCAATCAACATAAGTGACATTTACCCCTTTATTAGGCAAAAAGATACTTCAAATAAAACAACTAAAGAATTAGACTTTGAGAAACCAACAATTTTATGTTGCATATAAGTTCATCAAAAACCAATTGCAAGCAACTCATCCAAGCAGAATGCATAGTAAGTGAATCATTTTTAGGTGCAATACCAAAATCAAGTGCCAATCCATTTATCATATCTTGCAAGCACAAGCCAAATTCCTTTTTTTCACATTGAATTAGCTGGGCAGGAATCAGTATGTAAAATAGGAGAAATGGTGCCCACCTGATTACGAGCACGCGTAACATCATCTTCTGAGACCCGATAAGCCAACTTCGTTGTCTCGTACATTATTGCATAGCACAAATCATCCAAGCAATCCTTCTGAAAGATCAAATTTAAAACATGGTTTTATCAAAGAAGAATTTAAGATACAGGGGCAAAAAAAAGTAACAAAAAAACCTTCTAGGGGCAGAGAATGTATAAGACAATTTATCCTCTACGCAACTTAAGCATAACGTTCTTTAAAAAAAAAAAAAAATTCAACACTGCCTGCACAGAAAGTAATTTATATTGGACACAACTAAGATTAACATACTTGGTTAATGAGAAATGTGAGTGTCAGTGTTACATGACACATCTTGTGCCATGCCATAGACACAAAAAGTTGTGTGTCCCACTGAAAAAAAATAAGGTGTGGGTCCCACCTTTTTGTGTCTATGGCATGACACAAGATGTATCATGTAACATGACACTCACATTTCCCTTGGTTAATATATACAAAATTTCTCTCCTAACAAGTGCAAGCTTGTAATGAAGCACATCCATCATTACAAATAGTGAAACCAATTCTTTCTGATTCACAAATAAATTAGAGAAGTTCACAATGCTACAAAATTCTGAAGCATGTTAAATGCCAGAAAGGTTAGAGAGTGATGAGTAGGTTTAAACTTCATCAAGTGATGTGTTCAGTCAAAAAAAAAAATTAAATAAATAGTTTTATTTCAACTAAACTTTAGCTGCCAGGACTGATGCATCTTAGTTGAGATGACTAAGAACCCTAGGTGTGAAGCATAGGTTTTTCTTTATCTTCTTATATAATTTAACTTGATAAGACAGCTTCAACTATCCCAATATAAAAAATACTAGACCAACATTCTACGCACTTTTCTTAATCACATTAAATCTTAGCATTACCATCTGTAGATCCTATTCACAGCCCCAAAACAGCATCCTTAATTGCTTTTAAGTCTAAAAGTATAAATACCCTGCATACTAATCATTATATTTTCTCCGTTAATGCTTCATTTGGTTTAGGACTTGGGGAAAACTGGGGGGAATAAGAATAAGGACCAAAAGAATTGGGAGAAAATTGCATCTTCTTCTGTTTGGGAAGGAAGATAAATTTATGGGGAAACTGGCATGGGAGCCACATGTTTTCTGCACCAAATCGGTAAGCAAGAACCGGAAAACTATTGTTGTTGCTGTCCAAATAAAGTCTTAATGATTATAAAAGGAAACTAAAAAGCCATTGGAAGTAAAGAGGAAAGAAAAGCAGATAAACAAAACGGTAATTATGGGGATAAAAGTTCATTTGTTACTGGCAAATACTTAGTTTCTTGTACTCAAGTCTACTGTAATGCATTGTCAAACATGTACGATTCTCACCTTAGCAACAGCATAAACACCAAAAAGACCTGAATCCTTGTAATTGGTATTGAAGGCCATCATGCTTTCAGCAACTTCATTAATGCCAACTCGTTGCGCTAATGCAGAACTGTTCACAATTAAAATTTACTCAATTATGTGACTATGAGGAGTTCTCCATTAGTCTATTTTTGGGGGGGAAAAGAGGTTCTCAAGTGGTATACCCCATGTGCTTTCCACCTCCAGCTGTCTTATTCCAAGAACCCAACATGGCTTGCATGACCATCAGGGCAATCGAATCTGGATCCGTCCAAGCTGCGCCTTCAAAAGCTACCGCAAATTGTGCAAGGGGAATATCATCATCCAACATTCTAACCTGTTCTTGGAATAAGTACCAAAATAGTGATTAAATTTTACTACCAAGATGGTTTTATATGCGCTCAATATATATATTTTCTAATAATCTTGCCTCAGAACCCGTAAAAATGGTTGGTTCTTTTGCAACTAATTGAGAAGCTGTGGTGGGATCCGCTGACAACTTAGTAAACAATGTTTTTACTTGCTGGACAATATCTTCATGCTTGACAGCTCCAGAAGCAGCTATCACCTGAGAAAGCAGACCCAAAAAAATAGCCATGAGGGCACCTGTCTATTTAGGCATTAAAATATAATTTATATAGAATAAAAATTACAAAATAACCATGTCCTAAGAATACTACCGCATCCATCACTAAAAGATGATATATACAAACAGGAACAAAATAATTTTCTGCACACCATCCTAGGAGCCGTGTAGTGTGTCTGTATGTAATTCTGTAGATGATCTTTGGTGATTGTCTTAATATTCTGAGCAGGTCCAAGAATTGTTCTACCAAGTGGAGTGTACTGGAAAGCAGTTGCATGTAAATGGTCAAAAATTACTTCCTCTGTTTGTCCCTCAACCTACAAGCAGTTGCAAATGATAAACTAATCAGCACAAGAATGAGAGCCTGTTAAAACCAATTTAGGAGAAAAAAGGCAGCCGCAAGGGAATAAACACACAACACACAGACACACAAGAATTTATTAATTGTTCTCATCACATAGACACACACACATAACAAGTTAGACTCCTATAGTTCTACGGGTTGGGATGTGGGGATGGAGTGGCTGTCGTATAAGTTAGTAAGTAAACAAACAAAATCACAACCCAATTCTAATTCAAATTCAAACCTCATACAACTATGTTCCCAACAAGAGAACAAACATCACCACTGAAAATTAGAACACAAATTGACTAAACCCAACACATATTGTCTGACAGTTAATACTTACCTACAAGCTAGACATGCCTTTACCAGGCTTAATACCCATCATGACATTAATGAGAGAGCTAAGGAATACTACCAACAATTACTCCTTGGTTACTGTGCTACACGTAAGAAATTGGACCCCATTTCATAATATCATGATATGAAAACCACTTTGAAATATAATACAAGTAAATGCAAAGATATAAACTTACCAACTTACTTAAGTTAAAACACTCAATAGGGTGTGTAAAATCAAAATTATCTTCTAAACCCAACAAAAAAAGGTTGAACTAGAAAGAAACAACAGATCTAGGGTGCGTAAAATTTACATCGCTTGCAATCAGACACAACCCATAACCACAAAACAATGGGTGCACTTTCACATACACAACTCAGTTCACCACTCAATAGCAACAATAATAACCCAATTATCACAGGCCTAGCCACAATAAATTAGACGACATTTCCTCAATTATTCCTCAAATTTTATTTAAAAAAAAATCATTTCCAATTCAAAAACAAATTAAATTGGAGGCCATTTGATCAATTACAGTCGAATTTGAAGCAACAAAACTCTTCCACACTCAAATGACCAAAAAACATATACCCTCTATGTTTACAAACAAAAAATGTAAACCAATTAAAAAACTTGCAATTCCAATCCCCAACATTCCATTACCTCCACCATTTCCCCCACCATTTCCCATAATTTGAAGCCACAAAAAAAAAAAAAAAAAAATGGAAGAAGGGGGGAGGGGTGGCGTAGGAACAGAAAATCCTGAAATTGAAACCCACATTATATATAGGGAAAACTTAAAAAAAAAACCCTATCAGTTTTCTCAATTATCACTTACCTCTAACAAATTTTTTGAATCATTTATACTCTTATTTAAATTTTTTTATCACTTAGCCTGACTTAAAGTTTCTTTATCATTTACCCATCTCACTTATGGGGGTAAATGATAAAAAAACTTTAAGTTAGGGAATAAATGATTCAAAAATTTGGAAAGGGACAAATGATCTCGAGGAAAGTTACAGGTATTTGTTTTCGAAGTTTTCCCTTATATATACTCTTCCAAACTCAAATACAACGAAAACCAATTCCCTTTACATAAACACACATACAACCACAAAATAATAATAACAGTAATAAATAAATAAATAATAATAACAACAACAACTTGCAATTCAAATCCCTATTCTACCATTTGCTCCTCCATTTCCCATAATTAGAAGCAAGAAAACTCTTCCAAACCCAATTGCACCATAAATCAACACCATTTAAGATTAACACAAAATGGAGGGTGAAAATTAAAAAATAGAAAATAAATTGAAACCCCCCCTACAATGACCATTACCTCTTCCATTTCCCTTAGAATCACATCACGCTCCCGGCTAATCCTGTTATTATCAAACTTAGAATTCTGCAATATATCAGCCAGAATATCAAGCGCCTTCGGCACATCCTTATCAGTGACTTTGGCGTAATACGTTGTTTGCTCCCTCGACGTGTACGCATTCAAATGCCCTCCCATGTTCTCTATCTCTTCCTCAAGTTCCCTGGCAGAACGCTTCTCCGTTCCCTTGAAGATCATGTGTTCGACGAAATGCGCGGTCCCGTTCGTCTCCTCCGTCTCGAACCGAGACCCGGCGTCGATCCAGACGCCGACGGTGGCAGTCTTCGCGGCGAGGCTTGACTCCGTCACGACGCGGAGGCCGTTAGGTAGGGTCGTTACGCGGGTTTCCGGCGCCGCCAGGACCCGGGTGTGGTCCGAGAGGGTTGGGATGGGTGACCCGTATTTGAGAAAGCGCGGGTCCGGATTTTCCAGCTGGAGGAGCTTGGATTTCATGGCCTCGGCGAGGCGATCGTAGATCATGACGTTTGGAGGAGGAGGGGAAGGAGGGGAGGAAGGCGTGGAAAGTGCCGCGGCGGTTGAGGCGGATCTGACGGCGGAGGAGAGGGTGGAGGCGCGGCGGCGAGCCGCCGTGAGGAGGTGGTTGAAGGGCATGCTGGCGGGGGACCTGACCGGAGTGTCTGGTCTGCTGTAGTGAGAGACTAAGAAAAAAACTTTTGTGAGATTAGAAAAAGAAAAAAGAAGTGTTTAGAGTGAAAAGGGGTTACTTTCACTGTTTCACGTCCTTCTTGTTAGGAATTTCTTTGACCAATATATATATTTTTTTTTTTTGGTATAATTCGGTAGTATCCTGGTTTAACCTTTTCTAATTACCTTCCTCTTGGATTACGGCTCGAACACGGATCCCGAAGGCCGCCACTTCTTTATTAGAACAGTGGATGCATTGAACTTCTTCATTTGAAGAGAGAAACACGTCCTCTAGACCCCAAATTTTTTTTAAGAATTTGTTTAAGGCAGGGTTTAAATCCCTGACCCAAGCAACCTTTGAAAACTCAGTTATTAACTAAGCTACCATTGGGAGTTAGAGTGTATAGAATTTTAGACTTAGAGTGTTATATGTGAATACAAATACACTAACTTTACCTTAGTGAATTCTATTTTAATATTTTTTTTCTTTCTACTTTTTATATTGAGACCATTCATTTTTCTATGATTGGTGGAGTGTTTTTATGTTTGGGTTATCCATGATTTGTTGTGTTTCCTACTCACTTCATATAATATTATTACTATTTTCATTCTCTCTCTAGAAAAAACTCAGAGAGTTTTCCCAATACTACCATCAAAGATGGTTTGACACACACAGTATCATAGGCTCTGATACCAAGTTGGTCGAGAGCCTCACAATCTCTAAGAATCCATGAGTTAGTCATCATCAACATTAAGCATTTCAACGCACACCTTAGCCTACTAGCTCTTTTCCTAATGACTATCACCCAATCCTTAAAGATAAGATGACCGTAATATTGGATCATATCAGAGTTTGCTTTTTAATACACATGATCCCTTTACAGGGCAAGTGTAGAGCATATTTGCTTCCTCTTTGAGAGATAGTAATCATAGTAACAACATTATATTAGGTTTTCAGAAAGAAAAGAGAAACTTTAGAATATCACGAGTTTTATTTCTTCACACTTGATTCTGCCACTTCCAATATCATAAACTTCCTTTTATAGACAAGGAAGATACACGACTTACAATACAAGCAAATGATAATAATGACTCTAGGGACACATCATTTGACATGATGAGATATGTCACCTAATACGATGAGATATTTTTACAAAAGATACTTTAACTTTTCTTACATCATAAGCAAGCATCATACTTTACTAATTATTAAGCATTCTCTTCATTTTATAATCATACATTTGTCCATTATCTTTTATAAAGTCGATTCTTGAAGTGACCTTGTCTCTTACTCATCACTGTTGAGTGACTGGTTAAGTTGTCTTTTTCTTCTGAGTCTGCACATTTTCTTGCATTATTTCATTCATGATGTCAGCATTTGGATCTTGTGAATCTTGCCATATAGGGTCAAGATGAAATTCACTAAGCTTATCTAGTTCTTTGACTGGGTCAAAAACAATCTCAATTTACATTGGACTTGGGCCTAGGGAAGAGCTTGGGTCTTAAGAAGAACTTGGGCCTTGAAATGGATCTATAGGCCGAGTGGATCTCTGATGATCATCATATCTATTTATTTCTTTTATGTTCTTTAACAATTGGGTTTTGGAGTCATTGAAATAGCCCCATAGATAACTATGTTTTGAGATCATATAAGTCCATCTGGTCTTTGCCAATAAGGTTTAAGGATGATAAAAATAACATTGACCTTTGAAATCTCCTTTTGTGTTTTCTTTTCTCGTTCCTTAGCTTGGATGATCTTGTGTAGTTCTTTTCTCTACCAAGACAAGGGAGAATAACACTCCAATAGTGTCTATAAATAATAATCTAAGTTCTCAGGATGAGTCAGAATATCATATGTTCTCCACACATTCAAGGCTAAGGGAATTGAATGTTGAACTGTAAGACACCATATGCTCTAGAGAGTGTCTAGATTTTTTTCAAAACCAATTTCACATAATACTTTTAAAATCCCTAAGTAAAGAACTTTAGGATTAAAAGCTACAGGTATAACATTCTTTGTTCACACTGTTCTGTGAAGGTAATAGAAGTAATATTCTCTGGCAAACTCTTGAATTTGAACAACAAAGGTTGGTTGTCCTAACTCATTCTTTTGTGTTTAGCTCTTGGAGGAAGAGGTTCATTCAGGAATATCAAAGAAAACTAGTTATGTTGGAAATGGCTTGAACAATAATGGGAGGTTTGGATATGGAAGGTCTAGATAAGAAATTACGAATGGTGTTAAGGCTTCCTTTGATATGTTTAACAATAAAGTTATACATTGAGAACCAATCTTTTAGCCTCAGGATTTGAGGATCTGGTGGTGTCTTGTTTTTGAATTCCAAAATTTTTGGAAAAGATGAATTATATATTTGGACTTCAAACATATAACCTTTACAATGGAAATCAAATTTTTTGATTCCATTTTTTGACCGCTAATGCTTCTTTGAAAGTGGTATGATAATGTTTTTCAGCATCTTGGAATTGTCCACTTGTATGTCCAGAATAGTGCTTTTTGCCATCAAGTTCTTCTGTGAGAACAGCTTCCCAAAAATGATCGCTAGCATTTGTCTGCAATATTCTTTTCCTTATGCTTGGACTCTTTAGGGCTGGAGGACTCCAAGCAATCTTTTTAAGTTCTTAGATTGCTTTGGTGTGTTCAAGACTCCAAAGAAGAGGATTTTTCTTCAATAACTTAGAAAGAGGACTAGTGTACTTGGTTCCATGAGGAATAAAATCTCTTATATAATTAACAATTTCAAGAAATTATTGAATTAATTTGACTGAGATTTTCATCTGGAAAATTGAGGAGTCCTTCTGCAATGTGTGGCTGAGGTTGATACATTCCTTGAGAGAAATGCATACCCAAATAGTCTATCTCAGATTGGGCTAAGTGAATTTTCTTCTTAGCTAACATGATTTCATATTTATGAGCTATATCAGCAAACTGATTGAGCAGATTTTTATGAGAATCCATATCTCTAGAAAAAAGCAAAATATCATCAATGTAGATGGGTATAGTATATAGGATAGGATCAAAGATTCTGGTCATCGCCTTTTGAAACAATGAGGAGCGACTTTGAGACCAAAAGGGAGAACTTTCTATTGATACTGCGTATTTGAATTGCAAAATGCAGTCTTGTGTCTGTCAGTAGGATCTACTTCAAGTTGCCAAAATCCAAACATCAAATCAATTTTTGAAAAAAAAAATGAGCATCTTTAATCAGGATGGAAAAAGAAGAGGCTTTTGGAATAGGAAATTTATCATTCTGCAAAAAATAATTTAGAGGCTTATAATTTATCACGACTCTCTTTTAGCCTCGAATTTTTTTTATCTTTGTTCTACATAAGAAGCTTGACATGCCCATTGGGATTTGGTTAGTTCTATTAATCCTTGCTTCAAGAGTTATTGGCATTCTTGTCTGGCTAATTGAAGATCTGAAGGAGCCATACCATAATAAGTTGCTTTTGTAGGATTGATGTCTTCATTTAGCTTAAAAGGAAGCTAACTGAAGAATTCTTCATTTTTCCACAGAGGACTAGGATGTGAGAATCCTTCATGATTATCTACACATAAAGGCTTGAGCTTTTATTTGATAAAATCAAGTTCAGGTGGTGCTTCAGAGAGTGCATACAATCTCATTGTCTCTGAATAGGATTTGAGCTCTCTTTTGAATTTTATGCCCTATGGAAGAATTTATAGTCTACGAGCCTGGGTATACGCATCCATTCCTATGAAAATATCTTTATTAGGCAATGGAGTTCCAATTATATTGGTCCAAACAACACATTCAGGAAAAAATCTTATTCCAATGGGATGTTTGGTAACCAATTTAGTCTAGAACATCTTTCCATCAGCTGCAACAATATAGGCTATTTCTTTTTTCTAGGCATCTGGTTGTAAAATCTTTGGATCCATCATGGACCTTTGAGCACCTGTGTCCATGTAAGCAATCAATCACCATTTTTAGATGACTAAATTTGGATGAGAGAATATGGACTTCTACACTAGGCTTTAGTATAGCTGGCTGAGATGATAAACTTCATGGATTGTAAAGATTGGAACATCTGATTTGAGATACTTGACTCACAGGAAGAGTCTTGAAGAGCAAAAATTGTCTCTTCTTTTCCATAACTTTGTTCTGAATACAACGATTTTTCATCATCATTATCATCAAGATTCAAAGCATTAATCATTTTCACAGCTTTACAACCTTTGTTGGGACAATTCTTTGCATAGTTGTCATTCTTCTTGCAAATGAAGCATTTATGCCTTTATTTATTCCCCGAAATATCTTCTTCTTAAAGAATCTAAAATTCCTCTTAGACTTTTTCTGCCTGAACCTTTTGAAATGATTTTTCTTCTTCATCTTGCCATCACAATTATTGTTATCTTTGCACTTTATCTTCATATAAGACTTCTTGCAAGCTTTGGAATGCTTTGATTTTTATTTCATTAAGTCAGTCATTTATATTTATAATGCTTGCAAAGCTTGTCTACTGCTTCCACGATCAGTTGATGAATTTTCCCATTGTAAGAGTTGTGAAATCTTTGCCTTGAGCTATAACCATGCAGTTAAGCTCAGGTTGAATCTCCTTTGGCAATAAAGCAACATGAGTATTCTTAAGATTGGGATCATTGTATCCATTCAGCAAATAAAATCTTTGCATCATCCTCTTGAAATGCTTTTCTAAATCTTTAATTTTACATTTCATTTCAAAGAGTTCTTGCATGTATCTATGATATCTACATCTCCAATAAACTCTTGGTGAAGTATACCTAGCATTCCAGAGGTGGAACCAATGTTGTGGAGTTAGTCTTGTCTAACACTATTAAGATTATGATACCATTCTTTGAGTGAACTAATTATTCTGGAACAGAATTCTTCAATAACTTTGTAAGGATCAACATCAGCAGGCAATAACTTTGTATCAATCCATGCTCCAAATTTTAAAATTCTTTTTATCCATTGAGTTGGAGGGATATCATTAAGTTTAAACAACGGTCCAACAACACTTGTGGTCTTTTTTCTTTGATTCCTACTAGCAACACCTTCTGTTTCTGAATCAGG